CGACTTATGTCAAGAGGCATGATATTGACAAGCTAGACACTATATCAGAAACGTGTAGAGTCATTGGATATCCAAAGGAAACTTTAGGATACTACTTCTACCATCCAAACTAACAAAAAATGTTTGTTGCAAGATCTGCAAGATTTCTTGAGATTGATTTTACATTGGATGGCACCTATGTGCAACAGGTTGAGCTCAAGGAAGAGTCTGGAGAGCCTCATGAACCTAAAGTAGAGTATGATCTAGTTGCAATCCAGTCCCTTTACCCACACTCACCCAACCTCCACGTAGGTCTGAAAGGACCAGTAAAGCACCTGATAGATATTTGAGCTTACACCATGTTCTTCTCATGGGAGATGACATGGAAGGTCTTAAAACTTACACGAAGGCAGTGTTGGACATTGACTCAAAGAAATGGTTGGAAGCCATGAAGTCTGAGATGGATTCTATGTATACCAGCCAAGTCTAGACTCTGGTTGACCCACCCGAAGGTATTGTACCAATAGGAAACAAATGGGTCTTCAAGAGGAAGCAGGGCTCAGATGGCAAGGTGGAGACCTAGAAAACTAGATTAGTAGCTAAATTCTACAGACAAAGAGAGGGAATTGACTATGAAGAAACTTTCTCTCTTGTAGCAATGATAAAATCAATCCGCATACTTCTCACCACAGCCGCATATTATGACTATGAGATATGGCAGATGGATGTGAAAACGGCTTTTCTGAATGGCCACCTTCATGAAGAAATCTACATGTATCTGTAGGGGCTTTTTCGTTCCAGGGGCTTGACGAATGGGCCTCGGTTGCTGTAAAGAGCAAATGGCTGGAATCGCCCCTTGTGTCTCAGTTCGAGAATCAAACCCCAAGTGTGCTTCAAAAGGGTAGCGGAGCCTTAGGAAACACCCTGGTTATCTTCACCAACAAAAAAGACAATTGCTTGCAGATAAATATTTAGGCTTGGCATGAGAAGCTTGTGGCATGGGAGCTGAGCATTCGTGAGTTTAGCATGAGAAAGAGAAGGCTTGGGTTTCCTATGAGAAACATAGGCTCGAAGTAAGGGGAAGAGAGAGTTTTTGGGAGGATTTGTTGAGGAGAGAGAGGAAGAGATGAGGAAGAGGAACGGGTGGCTTGAGCAAGTTTCCGGCAGCTTGACGAAAGTTCTGTCAAGTACTGGAACAGTTCTGCCAAGAGGGAAAATGGGGAAGAAGGATGAATAGTGCACGAAATTGCTAGGTTTTGAAGATGAGAGGGAAGCTTGCTCTCTGGATATGTGTTATGAGAGAGAGAGCGAGGAAGAAGATGAAAGCATGGGTGGTTTTAGCATATTTCCAGCAGCTTGACGAAAGCTTCGTCAAGCTCCTGGGCGATTTGACAGAAGAGAAAATGGGAAGCAATGGAAGAACAAGGCTTGAAATCGGAGGGTTCCAGAGATGAGAGATGATGCTTGCTCTCTCTGGATGTGGGTTTTGAGAGAGAGAAAGGAGGAAGATGGGAGAATAAAGCATGAAATTGAAGGATTCCAGAGGGCATGCTTGCCTTCGATCGGTTTGTTGTGTGTTTTGCTGGGAAGAAAGTGGCTCCTTTTATAGGCATTAAAAACCTTAATTTTTTCAAGCCACCCTCTCCCCTTTTCCTCACTTTCTTCCATTCACTATTGTTTGGTGAAATTTCCCTAGCCTGAAATCATAGGCACGCAGCTTTTTGGGGTTCCAAGGTCCTCAGGCAGCTAGACTTCTCCATGTGGGTGAGGAGCCGCCCACTTTTGTTTCTTGTTTTCTCACCAAAGCTTGAAGAGGAAAGAATGGGTAAGGGTGCTTGGTCAAAAAGGTGATCAGCACATGGGTTTGCTTGGTTTTGGTGGTTTGGCTGCGATATGGTTTTAACAGAGATGCATGACGTTGGATATTTTATAAAGTGCTGGACTGGGCTGTTTTGTTTCCAACGGCTTGTGAGTTCCCTTTGATTTCGTCAGACTGCTGGAAGCTTTGGCTAATGTGGGATTTTCTCACATGTTATGGCCTATTGGGTTTTCTTAAGGTGATGGGCTACTAGGTTTTTCTCTCATGCTTACCCATATGTTTGGGCTCAAGGAATGGGCTTGAGTTTTGGTACTCCCAAGTAGCCCAAAACTTCCACTCCTTGGACCATCAATGGGCCTTGTGAATACTCGTAACCATGCATACCACAACCCGCTCAGCAAGCCCTAGGCGTTCCCGTGGCTTGGGCCCACTTAAGCTTGTAGCGTGGCGTGTTGCTTATTTGCTTGGCGTGGCATGTGTGCAAGCACATATGACGAACTTTTGCGTGCCCAAATCGAGTTTCTTCTCGATAAGGTATAGCATTGGGCCGAGATTATATTTGGGCCTAGCCTTGGATTTTTTGGGCCTCAACAGTATCAACCTGAAGGATTCACATCTAAACATGAAGAGAAGAAAGTATGCAAACTTCAAAGGTCAATCTATGGACTAAAGCAGGCTTCAAGGAGTTGGAACATTCATTTTGATGAAGCCGTTAAAGGTTATGGTTTTAGCCAAAATGAAGATGAACCTTGTGTGTACAAGAAAAACAGCGGGAGCGCAATCATATTCCTCGTACTATATGTAGATGACATATTAATGTTTGGAAACGGCATAGGCATGTTGACCTCTGTGAAACTATGGTTATCAAAGACCTTCTCAATGAAGGATCTGGGAAATGCATCTTACATACTGGGTATCAAGATCTATATGGATAGATCGAGAAAACTAATTGGATTATCTCAATCCCTGTATGTAGACAAGGTGCTCGGAAGATTCCAAATGGAACATTCCAAGAAGGGTTTTCTGCCAGTCAAACATGGTATTCACCTATCTAAGAGCATGAGCCCTAAAACCCCAGAAGCAGTGATACAAATGAGCAGGATCCCATATGCCTCCGCAGTTGGGAGCCTAATGTATGCCATGCTATGTACGAGGCCTAATATCCGCTATGCTGTGAGCATCACAAGCAAATATCAATCAAACCCAAGGGTTAGATCTTGATTATCTAGTGAAGGGTGAGGGCTGTGGAAACAGGGAGAGATGTTGGGTTGTAGGGTTGGTGGAGGGAAGATGCTGAGAATATTAGGGCAGGGGCAGTGAGGTGGGGGGAAGCGTGGTGGTTGGACATAATGAAAAAAGAAGAAGCCCTTATCGGTGGAAGGAGGCTGGGGAGTGTCTGCCGCGCAAATCTCACGGCCTGGGGTTCCGGGCCGAGGGGATGTGCGTTGACACGCGGTTTCCTGCTTTTGGGTGCGGTGCGGTTGTTCGCGGGCGTGCCAACACGGTCTACCGTGCGTCGAGGTGTTGATGAGTGTTGGATGGATAAGTGGTGCGCCTGTTTGAACTCGTCTTCTAATCAAACGATTATAGCCGAGAGAGGAACTAGTCTCGGCTGTTAGGTTCACGGCCTGAACTACAAGGCCATTGAGTGATGGTGTTGGTGGTGGGTTTTGGGCGGTGCTCCGGCGCGCTGCTCAGGGAGCAACGATCGTATGATATATGGGGTGAGGGAACGAACAACAAGGATGGTGCTCCGGCGCCTTGAAAATCAAGGGTCGTATGATATATTGATGAATGAATTTTCCTTACAGTCTAACACTACTCCTAGGAAAGCAAGTAAAGATATTGAAAGTGCATTACAGGAAAAATAAGTTGCTCCGTGGGAGGCTTTGGTTTGGTGTTTGAACCCGTCTTCTGTAGCTCGAGCCTTGTATTTATAGGAAGAGTTCTTGGAGGAGTACTCGAAGCTGAAAACCCGCATGGTGGAGCCTGATTAGAGCAAGTGAGCTTCTGGCCGTGGAGACGCATTTATGGCCTGGATAGCTGGTGAACCAATATCTCAAGCTATCAGAATTCTTGTGAGAATGTCCACGTCTAATCACTCTGATCCTCATCACCAAATCCTGACCTCAGTCACTTCCCACCTTCCCTCATGCATTAAATGCTTATTTGTGGCCAGTGGGTTTTCTGCATTAAACAGGCACTACTTCATTAAATGAAGCCTGGGACCCTGTTGTCACGTGATGATTCGCATTTAATGCCTCTGGCCGTGATTTCGTTCGGCCTCGGCCTCGGCCTGCACTCGAGGCCGAGATGATCATGCCTTAGCATTTTTCTTTTGTCCTGAGGAAGGCAAAGCACCCCGTTGAAATGCTGCGTTCCAGTTTTACGAGCAAGTGCCAGAAAAAAGGGATCCTTCGGCCAGCTCAGGACCGTGATTTATTAGGCACAAACAGGGAGTAGTTGATTTTTAAAAAAATGTTATTTTAATGTTATTTTTATATTATATTAAATCTTTATTTTTATTTTATTTTATGAGTTTTTATTATTTTAAATGACTAGGCTTGGATTTTTTAACATGTGTACAGAATTACCTAAAAGCCCTTGCCACATCATCAATTTTGATAGCCTTTTGGATGAAGCAAAGTGAGATTTGACCATAGTTTCAAACCTTGGATAAAGCAAATGCCAAACCTTGGTCAATGAAGCAAGGTGAGATTTGACCATAGTTTCAAAGATACTGCAATAAATAAGCCTTTAGGAAATATTAGAATTAGTTTTGCTATTGCGGACAATAAAAAACAAGCAGTCAATAGCATTTGAAGAGACTATTTCAGAAGTTCTATTTTTTTTCCCTCCTTTATACATGGGATATTGGGAAAGGAGAGGAATCGAACCTCAAATTGGAGAAGAGAAAAAGCTTTTTGACCACTTGAGTTGCAAGTCTCTTGCCACATGCCCCCTTGCATATGATAGGAAAGAGAACTAAAATGTAACCTCAAAACAAAAGTACAATTACAGCATGGGCTAATAGATTGACACCGCGCATAAACTAGAGGGAACCAAAAGGTAATTAACCTTCAATGAAAATAATATAGAAATTTCATTTGGAGCCAGCCAGCCGCACTTCTTAGGCATTGGATTATCAAAAGGCTAAAAAGGTCATGTTGTGGTTTTATCGAGAAAGAAAACTTGGAAAAGAGATAGAAATAGTAACTTCGCATTTTAAAGATTGATCACAATTTTGTGTCTCAAAAATCGAAATGAAAACTTCAATATTTATTGACATTTCAAAGTATGAAGCCCCCCCAATGTAATTTCACTATAATAGCCATTGTATTGGGCCCGGAGAAACCAGTGGAGTACAACATTATATTTGAATGTAAGATCACAAGTACTTGACCATACCACGACCCTCCACACTTAGTTTTGTGGCCTGAAGCTGCTTCTTCTTCGGTGCCTTCAACTGCTGCAACTTCCTATTCATCTGCCATTACAAAAAATACAAAGAACATATAAAAAAATTAATGTTTCTTTAAATACTATATCAATGGAGATTTTGCAAAGGGCACCTCTCAACAAGAAGCATACATTTGAATAGTTGAGTCCAATTGTGTTGTTACCAAATGCCCTATGCCCACCCTGTTTCCCTTAGTTTTTTGACATGTGGCAAACCACTTAACAGCACTTAACTCTGTTAAAGTCCACCTCTCATCATCTCACACAGCCAACCGCCATCCTCCCGTCCGCCTTAACCCTCTCAGATCCAACCCAACCTGACCACCACCGCCCATCCCACCCCATCTGCTCTCACTCTCTCTCTCTCTCATCCAAATTCTATTATGTGCTTTAAAAGGGTTGCAATGAGTGAATCTTCATGTGTATGTGGCTTTCGTCTATTAGACTTGGTTTTCCCAGAAAACACATTCAACCCAACACAAAACAATAATCATTTGATGCTCATCTACGGTGTTGGTGGTTTCAAAAGGCATCTTCCCAAACGGCTCTTGCCCAGTCGAACTCCAACTCCTCACCCTTTGATGAATCTGATGACAATTATGTTAATGTTTGCACCACACATACCAACTTCCAACAACTCCAATACAACCTATTTCTTCTCTAAATTAGATACCTTGAGGTTGATAGCAACCTCAACAGTATAAGAAACGAACCCAATTTGAGATTTTCCTTCTTCCACCAGTTGAAGGGAGATGGGTTTCCAACAAGATATTCCGTGCTTATTAGAATCTTATGCTCGTGGGGTTTGGGGTTTGGGTTGGCACAGAGTGAGAGAGAGGCGGAGGTGGTTGGGTTTGGTTGGATCCGAGAGGGCTTAAGTCAGAGGAGGAAGGATGGGGGTTGGCTGGGTGGGTTGGATGATGGGAGGTAAACTTAACAGAGTAGTAAAGGTACACCCACGGCCCAATACACAGAAAAAAACCTAAGCCGCCAAAGGGTAGAAGTAACAGATCTAAAGGTAGCTGAAAGAAATTCTCAAACAAGGGAAACCTTGTTCAGATTGTTGACCGTACTAGACGGAAAAAATGACGCCCACTTAGATGCCGAGTAGCTACCACATATTTTATTTTGTTTTTCAATTTGTGCTTATATTTACCAGTAGCAACAAAGAAACCCACCTTCATACGGCGCTGATCCTGTATCGCTTGTTTAGCACGGGCTCTAATTTCATCAGGATCAATCTTAGATTGTGGGCGCACCACAAAATCCATTGGTGTCGCTTCTGGCCTTGAGGCATGTTGCCTAGAAGATGATTGGCCAGATTTTCTTTCCCTGTATCGAAGCCAAAATTAAAATGAAAGAAATGCCCCTTAGACAAAAGCGCCAGAACAAATAAGCAGCAATTGAAGTTTAACCCTTTGGGCTTATTAAGAAGCATGTTTAATCTATCCTCAAATTATACCTTGAAAATTCATCCAAGTCCAGATCACCATCTCTAGATTCCATTCCTGTACCATTATTCACTGGCCTGTGTAATAAAATATAAAATGTAATTTAATACAACTAAATGCACCGGATTTAGAGAAAGCGTATATTGATTTCAACACGGATTTGCATGCATGCATAGCAGCAATAAGGTATGTATTGTTCACACAAGGAAAAAAAAGTCTCACAGTACTTTTTCACTGGTGGCCTTCTAAAGGGAACCCTGTCATCATCAATGTTTCTCATATCCTCAAACCTTGTACTTTTATTAAATATAGGTCGACTCTGCAGTCATGTGAAACAGACCAGATGTCAACACCATTGCATATAAAACATAAAAAATACCATTTAGTGAGCATTAAAACTAGGATTAACAAATAATTAGCATCTCAAGGAAAATTTATCTATGGTTAATGGGAAATGGGGTTCTTCAATCTGATTAATGCCACAGTTTTTCAATGAAAATATCATTAAGAAGAATAAGATCTGCACGTATTTGTATATGAAAGAAAAATTGGCAGAAAAACTCCACATGGCTATGGAAGGCAAGAACTGGAGAACAAAACAAATTACCCATTTGTCAACCAACTCCTTCGCAAGCTTTCTGTTGGAAGTTGTTTCCTCATCAGATTTTGACAAAAACATGATGACCTGCCCAAGAACAAAGTAGATCAGTTCAAGTTGTCACATTAATTGGAAAACCATAACCATTGTTTGAAGCCTTGTACGATCATAACCTTTCTGTCTTTTTTTTCCCCTAAGAAAGAAGATCCTAACCTTTCCAAGGCCACTCTTTTTCAGTTGTTCTCTTCTATCATATTGCTCTAGATCAATGGGGAACTGCATAACAGAAGCAACATTTCAGGTTCTACTGTTAACAACCATTACTAAATGTCAGATACTAAAATGGGAAAGAAGGTACATACATCAGTCAAAATCTTCAAAATTGCTGCACGTATATTTATATTTGGTAAACTTCCATCAGGAAGAGGTTCAAGCCAATTCTTCAGCAGAGTTAGCACTCCATGATCTAAGAACTCTTGTTGAAGCTGCTTCCTGCAAATACCACAGTTAAAATTAGAAAGTATTCTCACAATTTTTTTTTTTTTTTTTTTGAAAAGGAAAAGTATTCTTACAATTGATAGAGAGAGGGAGATATATATATGCAACCAGCTTACTTTGAGAGGACCTCTGTAAGAAGAGGCAACTTCTTGAGCTTATTAATGGCAGGTTTCCCCTGTCTATTAAATTCTGCATCCTCTTCAGCTGTAACCTCGAGCTCAGCCATGACATTCTCAACCAGCAATGCTATTTCTGCTGGACTTTTTTCGTTCTTCTTCCTTTTCTTACCCATCTTAAAGAGTTCCTTGATTTCATCATCCTCCTCACCCTCCTCAGCCTAGAAAAATCCAAACAATAAACAAATATGAAAAAGCTATTCAGCCATGACGAAACCATATAGACAAAAGTAGTAAGCAATAAACAGGCTTAGTGAGTCATCAGTTGCAATCAACATGTGGTATCTGATATAAGTTGAAGACAGGAAACGTTGTCTATCAACCGAAGTTCCACTATATCTCGTGCCTTTAAATTCCATGCTGTGGCATTATAACATTAGCATATAGATCTAAGGATGATAGAAAACAAAAACCTGAGGATGATGACTAGGAGAACGTTCATTGTCACTTCCATACCGGTCAGCAGGATGCACACCAGTGTCATCTATAAAGTTGTCATCATCAAATGTCCTGACACCCTCTTGATCATCCTATAAAATTGAACAGGAGAAAACAATTAGTAAGTTACAAAAGTAAGCTGAAGTGAATATCAGTAAGAAAATACATTATAGTTATGGAAAACAAAATCAAACAGGCACAGGTATTTAACACCTATAGATTCTGAACATCATCAAACAAACAGATTCTCACTGACAATTGCAGTTAGCACAATTTAAATATAAAATCTTTTAGAAGAAAATGGGATAACAAGAACCAAGACATTTTTCACTATAAACCATTATTCTTGCAAAACAATGACAGAAAAACTACATCAATTAAATACTTCTAGACAAAAGTTGTTCTGGATATCAGAAATTAAGCTGTTCAATCTATATAACACTTCATCGGCCTGCAAATTCAGAGATAAAATCAGCAAAAACCAATCAAACAACTATTTTAAAAAACTATATATACATCATAATTGTTAAAACAAAGCAAATGAAGCCCAATTCAACTCAATCATTTAACGGTCGGGAGCAACTCACAAAATCGCACAACCCCACCATATTTGTAACCTCAGAATAAAACCCAAATGCTAAAAGGAAAATAAAATACTGATGATAACCTCAGAATCGCCGCCAGCGATGGTGTCCCACATCTCCTTGACCTCACCATCCGTGGCCGCCTTGTCGGAAAAGGATCTCCTTGGAAATTTGGGTCCCTTCTTCTCTCCCTTATGCCTCTTCTCCTTCTTCAGCCTCTTCCCACTGCCCTCATCGCCATCCTCTCCATCATCGTCCACCAAATCAGAGCTCACAGGCAATTTTCCCACGTGGCTCTTCTTGATCAGCCGCTTCCTTGGCTTGGATTTCAAGGACGAGGGGTCGGCATCGTAGACGGGGGTCTGGGACTGGTCGCGATCGCGCAAATCGTCGTTGTCTTCTAGGCCGTCATCTTGGTGGGGCTCCGGAGATGGGTCACGACCCGCTCCGAAGTCATCGTAGTCCATCAATGGCTCCCCATCTTCGTCGCGGTACCTGAAACCAAAAGTGGCGATTAGATGCACGGAATCGAAGAAAACCCTAACCTTAATTTTGCGAGATAAGGGCTTACGGATCGTCTTCGTAAGGCATGGTGCGGTGGTGATCAGGATGCCAAACTGCGAGATATCACGAGTTTCGTTTTCCACCAACAAGAATTCAAGAAATCCCAAATTGCACGTTTGATCCCTGTTGTCCTGAGAAAAAAAATTTGAAGAAAGAAATACAGAAAACAAACCCTAACATGAATTTAGGAGCGGGAGAAATTGATCGGTGAACAACCCATTAATCGTAACCCTAAAACAGAAATACCATAACCAGTTTAAGCAAGTCCTAGATCGGTGACAAATTGAGGAACTTTAGGAAAAAGATGAGAGAGCAAATCAGTTCCATACTCATCAGCGTGACCAGAGAGGACGATAGGTGCTTCAACCGGGTGCCAATGGAGGAGCTGAGGAAATGAACGGAGAAAGAGAATAAGAAGAAAAAGAGTGGCCGGCTGGGCGATGATGGAGCTTCTTTCTGTCCTGTGTTATTTGTGCTCCCTAAACCACCCGTTAGACAAAATTTAGGAAGTAATTGGAAAAAAACAAATCCAACAATGCTGCCTATTCATCTCATAAAATACGAGATTTTTAGTAGCTCTTAAATCTAAGAACATTCACAATCATGTTCTCTATTTTTTAGTTAAAATTTAGCTAAAAACACTATAAAGTTATTTTAGGAGCTCTCTATAAAATTTCGACTCCAACCATACTCCCTAGTTTAAAGAGTCATAAATATTTTTAATATTTTTTAATTCAATTTTTAAATAAAATGTAGACACAAAAGCAACAATAAAAAATAGTTTGCTTTAAATAAATGCTTAAAATAATATTAAATAAAGAAGCATTTAATTATAGGGAGTCACTAAGAGTCCTTTCTCTCTCCTCAGATTTAGGAGCTCCTAGAGGTCTCTCTATTTTAGGAGTTGAATAGGGAGCATTGTTGGAGGTGGTTTTTTTTCAATTCCTCTCTAAATTTTAACAAGAAAAACTCCTAGTGGCTCCCTAAAATTTAATGATGCTTTATTTTATGAGTATTTTAGACCTTTAATTAATACTAATTATTTTTTATATTATCTTTTAACAAAAATTGATAAATTAAAAAAGAGTTATAGCATATATGACTCCGTAAACTAGAGATTATAATTGGAGTTAAAATTTTATATAGAGCTCCTAAAATACGGGTTTTTCTTCTTTTTATTTTAGCTTATTTACTGTTTCACCCCTGAAACAAACCTTACCAACTGAAATTTTCTCACTTAACTCCCTGAATCTCTAAACATTGCTGAAATTTTCTCAGTTTACCACTTCCGTCCATTTTCATCCACAAAACCGTTAAGTGTGCTAACGTGGCATGGGCATTCTAGTAATTTTAGCTCCTTATCTTCTCTGCCCCTCTCTTTTCTCCCATCCCAAACCCAAACTTAGGGGGTGAAATAGTAAATAAGCTTTTTATTTTTTGGTTGGGAGAAAATTCCCAAACTTTACACTGGTTCACGAAAGGAAATCAATTTTCATAATTTTCCATCATAAGGGAAAACAAAGATTCCTATCTAAATTTGTTAAGCCTGGAAAAATAATTAGAAAATATCATTTCATGTTTAATTAGTGCGGAAATTAGAAATACAATTTATTTAGTTTTCATATTATATTCCTAAATCAGAAATATGCATTAAAAATTATAGTTAGACTTTTTATGATAATGATTTTTGAGGTTTGTGAAATTATCATCTTTGGTTATTAATGTTTTTTCTGTGACAGTAATGATTGTTAGATATATGCCCTTAAAGCCAACTATTTATGTAATAGTTAATGTTAAGGACATCTTTTGTAATGACTTATGAAGTTATTTATGGGCAAGACCAGTTGTTTTAATTCATGATTATATGTTATCTTATGAAATACAAAAACAACTATAGTCCTAGGAATATATATGTGGACATGAGAACTATGTAATGAGATTGCATATATCGAGACTTATCATGATTCCTAATTCTAAATATGTTCCTGGTCATAGAAGTATCAATTGGGCATTGATATTCTACTAAGATCAGTACATGCAATATCTTCTCTATATATAGAGAATGATGAGGTCTCAAGTCATTGAATGTGACGACACCAAGATATGTATGTAGGTACTTGCAGGAGAACTAGTACACTGAACGCGATCAAATACATGAATTCTATAATGAAAGTTTTTACTCACATGTCAAACTAGAACTTATATATTGCAATGGTGCAAACTAATCCTTAGACCTTAGACATCATAGATATCTTGTGGCTATATTGTTTGTATTTGAGATCACTATATTGTTGTGTTTAAAAGGACATGACTCAAATGTGTTTATAAGGCTCTCAATAAAGTCATGGAGGCAAATGAATGTACGACAAGGGATCTTTACTCTCAGTGAAGAGAGTGAATACTCCAAAGATATGATTGATCAAATCTTTTCGCAAAGTAGAAGATAAGATTTGATATAAATGAATAATTCACATGAAGGTATTTGACATCAGATTCCTTTATCTAATAATGTGAATAAGGAGTATTGTATAAGAGAATGATTCAATTGCACAGTCATTCCAATTTGAATAGGTTCTTCCATGCACCCTATTTAGCTCGGACAACCATGACATTCTGCTAGGAGTCAACCATGGTTTGTGGAAGTCCTGAAAGGATCAAACTCAATTAACCTTCATCAATAGGAAGAATTAAATTATGAGATTTAATTCACAAATCAACTCAGAGAAGTTGAGATTACTCACTACCTTGCTAAAAGGAACCTACAGATCACACACTAAGAAATGAGATTAGAGAAACAAATGAAGAGAAAAGAAACTAGGAGTCAAAAGTCAAAGGCCGAAAGTCAACAGTCAAGTCAAAATCAATATCGCTAACTGAAGAAATTGACCAAGTCAAATTAGTAAGACTATAATAGTGATTGAAGAGTTAAATCATAATTCATAATTAAGAATGAATTGTGGAATTAACTTTGACATAAGTAAATGGATTGGGCTTTAAATGTGATTTAATAGAAAATGCAAAATACCCAGAATTCAAATGGGCCCAAGGATAAGTGTTGTATGACAACACAAATCCAAGGACCCAACTCAAGCCCACCCATCTACCCATGGCTGGCCTTGAGAAAAGGATTTCTCTCTCTCTCTCTCTCTCTCTCTCTCTCTCTCTCTCTCTCTCTATGTTTTTTCCTATAAAAGCCAAAAGATGACTCAAAACCTAGTAAGGGGTTTTTGGTATTCCATGGTGGTATATGATGTGTAGGTGAGACACTCTCCCTCTCATCTTCCTTAGGCAAAAATTTGGACCAACCTAGAGGAAGTCTAGCATCTAAGTCTTCTATGTTGTCTTCTCTCCATCTCTAGTCCATTTGGTGTGGTAAAGTAGAGGACTTCACTCTTGGAGTCTTGGGTTGAGGAGCTTGTAAGAAGAGGAAGAAAGGAAGGCCTTTTCACAAAGGTGTTCATTCGGCTTCTCCAAGAAATAGTCATCAAAGGTAAATCTCTTATGCCTTTCTCTATTTTTCTTTTGGCATTCAAAGAGACTATATTTGAAGATACTTGGGTAAAATGAAATAGGCTTATGAGGAGCTTACAGATATGTTGACCCATGTTGTGTCAAAGAGTCGATTTGAAGACTCACTTGACAAGTTGGGCATTACCGATATCTATGCACCAACTTGAGGGGGAGTGTTGGCGTGAGTCAAAGTCAACATTTCTATTAGGAATAGAATTTGTATTTTATTGTAATTATCTAATTTGAGTAGAACTATGAGATTTTGTATATATTTCCTATTTGTACCCACTTTGTAAGTATATATATCCCTCCTTGAGAGAAGAATAAATATATCAACTTAAAGCCTAATTACTTTTGAGTTAACATGCAACTCTTGAATACTTATATATTTGATATACTTGTATTTTCTATTTCGGGGCCCCCAACTTTACAGTTCTAGCTCCCCGCCTCCTGGTCTCCTGGCCATTGTTTAGGTGGGTTTTCCGGAGCCCTTCCTTTCTCCTTCTCTAGGACATTATTGTTGGGGTCTCCTGGTCCTTGCTGAGATGGGTTTTCCGGAGCCTTTCCTTTCTCATTCTCTAGGACATTGTTGTTGGGGTCTGCTGACTCTTGTTGTGGTAGGTTTTCCGAAGCCTTTCAATTCTCCTTCTCTAGGACATTGTTGTTTCTTTCACATTCCAACGCAAAATGCATCACCTCTTGTAGTGTGGTGTGAGACAACTGGACCTTCACCTACTTCTGAATTTGCTCATGTAATCCTAGCATAAATCTACCACCTTTCCCTTGTTCTGAGAGGAATCCATCTAGCAACTTCACAAGTTTCAAATGAAACTTATCGATATATGTCATGACATCGTCATCTCCTTGCTCGAGTTTGTAAAATGCTAGTATGTCATCTTCAGTCATGTTAATATCCGTGGGAGGTTTGTCATAGTTAGAAAGAGTATACTGCTCATAGTCCATTGGGGTAAGCACAGTGTCCTTTTGCTCCCTTTCTACAAACGAAGATATTGAAGAATTCTTGCTAGACGTAGATGAGTCGTCAAACAGTATGCTGCAATCACAGAAAACAAAGAAAAACTTACCCCATTATTCTAAATTCGGGAAAAAGAAAATATTTTTCTCACTACAACTGAAAAATCCTAGCTAAAATATTTTACCAAGAAAAGAATAATATATTCATAAAAGAATAATAATATATATGTACCAAGAAAAGAATAATAATGTATGGTTGAAAGAAAGAAATAAAGTAAATCTGGTTTTTCCCTTCTAATTAATATTTCTTACTTGCAACCCATCACATTATTAATATATAAATAAAACTCAATATTTATAAAATAAAATAAAACCCAATGACTAGGATTTAACTCAGCAAATTACCTAATCAAGATTATAATATGATTTATTATACATTTCAAAAAGTACCCCCAGCTAACTCATTATTGCATTTTGAATATTAATGTAGGGATCGATATTGAATTTTTTTTAATTGGATTGTAAATAATGACACACGTGGAAAGATCTCTAAATGGTTGTAATGGATGTAGAAATTAATTTGGAAACTTTGTTTTAAATTTAACAATAAATTCATATTTAATTTAATAAAAAAATGTTTATGTTATTTTCTTTTTATGAATTATATTTGTAATATATCTTATAATTGTTTATGAAACATACTAATTACATTGAAAAAAAAGAAGAAGAGATATTTAGTTATATACCCATTCTTAGCACTAAAACTATAAACAAACCCTACACTATTTAATTTCTATAAACAAACCCAAAAAAAACCCAAAAAATGACATCTGGCCATCTTGAATTTAATTTTGATTATTAAATTACTTTGATGCCCTATTGAGTGTTTTGGGATTTTTTATGAGATTTTGGGGTTGGGTGTTGGTAATTTTTAACAACAATATTAAAACCTTGCAAGTGCACAAATCAAATGATAGTATAGTAAGCAAGCAAGGGTCATTCCCACAGAGATTGTAATCTAAAGAGATGTTATCAATGTCACACAAAGA